TATGTTGTTTAAAAAAATTTGTCAAACGAATTGAAACAACCTTTTCAAAAATCTTCGAGATAGCAGTCAAAATGGATATAGGCCGATAGTTATTGAGGTCTTTTTCATCACCCTTTATATGTACTGGTCTGACTATTGAAAGTTTTAAGGCATCTGGAAAACAACCCGAGACAAAAGAGAAATTAATCAGGTGGCTAATTGGTCCAGCTAGTATATCTGACATACTCTTTAAGATTCGTACTGAAATTTCATCTGAACCAGCAGAATTTTTGTTTTTCAGAGAGGCAATGACTTCTTTTACTTCTTCCTTTGATGTTGGATGGAGGAAGAGTGAGCCTTTAGGTCGTCCTACCAATGCCACGCTTGTTTTCAATCCATTCTCTGAGTTATTAACATTGACTTTGACAAAATTATCATTGAATCTGGAGGCAATGTGCAAGGGATCGTAAGTCGGCTCACCGTTATCACAAACACGGTAATAGCTTATTCCCTATATGGGATATTCGCTAATATAATGGACAGCAATAAAATCACAGTTTCGTTCAAAACTGATAATAATCTTGGTTCTTTACAAAAATATCATCCCCAGACACCTACTGCAACCTTCGAGAAAACCTGAGTTTACCAAATCAATTGCAATGATTGCCCAAAATATTATATAGGCCAAACATCCCGTTCTTTTATTAATAAAAGGTTTAAATAACATCTACTGAAAAGAACTAGACACTAATATTGATAGTAACATGAAAATCCTACACCTTTCAAATGACCGATTCAATAGAAACACTTTGAAATAATTCGAAATCTATAGGGCTGTTAAATTTGACAGCCAAAATATCATCAACGACAAGATTTTGTTTCAATCAAATTACATTTACTGCAATCAAGATACTAGCGCAAGGGACAGTTGAACGTTGTAGCTATCAGCTGATTGGGAAATCCAGGCACGACGTCATCACTGACCACCCTGATCCTGACTGGCAGTCTAGATATAACCCCCGCCCGATCACGTTGTGTCCTGTTACCGTTCTAGTATTACCCTTTGTTTTTAACCCTAAATATTCGTTTTTATGTTCGTTTACATGTGCGTGTTAAATGTATTTATTTATTACGAATTGACGACCTTCGAATGAAGCAAGAAGACATCTGTACTGGCCCAACGATGACTCCTTTGTGAGTCAAAACCGGTTGCAATTTAGCAACACATTGATCACATAAATGCAGGTATTTACACCAATTATTTTGTACTTACTTTAGCCGCATACTTTTTACTTTTGCCGTACAGTTTTTTTGCCGCACACCAGTATTCCAACCAAACAACACAAATTTTTTACTAGGCACGTAACAAGTATACGCCTGAAAATAAGTTGGCAACACTTGAAGATATTACGACTACGATCAGCTGGTGCAGAGTTTCCCATTTTGTTTAGTGTTTGGATTTAACCTAACCTAAAAACGTGTTGTACAGTGTTTGAAAGACTAATTATTTATATGCTTTATAGTAACCGTAGGAAAAATATAATGTGTAACACGAGTGCAAACTGCCTTTGCTGCACTCAAGTAAACATTTCTCTCGTGTGCAGCAAAGTGCCACTTCGCCCACTAGTTACACAAATAACTAACTTAAATGGTGAAAAAATAGTTACTAAACATATTTCTAATTCGGGCAGTAAATCAAGAATCTAATTTAAGATTACAAATAAAAAAGTGTAAACCTAAAACGTTATTCATGTTTTAAATTTATATTTACAACTGTCACAAAGGTTCTTACAACACTGTTTATAAACAAGATGCATGCATACATTCCCTACATAAAAAACAATAGGCCATTGACAATAGACATAGGTATACACATGGGACCTTAATAGGGTATTTACTCAGGGGAGGTATAGAAGAGGCTACGATGACAGCTGAGGGCTTCTTATTAGCTGAGGGAACGCCATTACCGTAACAAAACGATCGATAGCTATCGGCTTCGGTCTAATGGTTAGCGTGCCGGGCTGATATATTACAGGTCCCGGGTTCGAATCCCGCCGGTAGCATTAACTTTTTGTCCAAGATTTTTTTTATTTTCAGCAAGTTTGGTTGGTTTGGTTTGGTTATTACAGTTTAATTTTATTATTAAGTCATTATAAAATTTTAATTGAGCAATTTCTAGTTTTATTTTATAAACAGAATTATTTTTCCGATTACTATAAACTTTTGCTATATTATTGCTTTATCAGCAAGTTTGGTTAGTTCGGTTAGGTTATGATAGTTTAATTTTATAATTAAAAATTAATAAAATTGAATTTTAGGCATTTATAATTTTATTTTATGAACAGAACTATTTTTGCGATTAGTAAACCTTCATTGCCAAAGTGCTCTCTACTACAGCGCTGTTCACGGAGGAATTTTGAACTAAATGCCTCATTTGTACCTCCCCTAAGTCAGACCCCCTTAATAGTAATTAAATACTACCAAGTGGAGGTTATAGTACACATGCTTTGAGAGCTGTATAGAAGAATATAATGTTTTTTACTAATGTTGCTTCGGTATACTGCCCAACACAGACGGTAGTGCAACCCAGAACCTTAGGGCAACACTTGAAGGAAAGGCTTAAACTTACAGAGGGGTTTTTCTATGTATAATTTTAGAAAGAGACATTCTAAACCTTAGTTTTTTAACGTCCAACTTTTAAACACTATGTTTGTTCATTTGTTTTTGAAAAAAGAAACAAGTTCCACTAACGAACCCAGACAACTGCTGAGCTGTTTTTAAATTTGATCTTTGAGCCGCCATTGACACAGATTTGAAAAATAGCTAAAATTCTATTCCAACCTTGTGTTGATATGGTTAATGTAAATTTTACTTTGAATATTCAGACACATGCCTTTCTTACTATGGTTTAACCAGATAAGATAGTATGGAGTAAAACAATTCTGGCCAAAACATAGTAACCTATTTGAGCAAAGAGCCTACTACCTACTTGAGAGTAATCTATTTGAGTTTCATACTCATTGTAAATATATCTGGCCTCAGATTCTTGTAAGAGTAAGCTGCTTTGTATGTCAACCTGGTGTAAGATGAACCCCTAATGTACTTAGCACATGCCCAAGCAACAACCAATTCACACAATTTTTTTTACTATTTCTACTTTATAAATGTTGGCAACCATATTTAATTTTGTTGAGATTGTAGCATAAATTAAATAAACGGTATCAGCATTCTGACACATACTTTCTCCCATAAGTTTGTAAACAACCTTTATCATGTATAAAAGCGGTGAGAGTAAATATACGGAAATGGGATTTGTACAATTTTGTTCAGAATTTAAAGGACTATAACATACTAAATTTTTATCAAAATTGTTCGAGCCAATTTTGGGAAATCCGATTTTTCCGTTATTTTATGGGGTTTTTATGGGGAAATAACATAATTTACAATAACTTTTGAACCGTAATTTTTACAGAAAAGGGATTTGTACCATTTTGTTCAGAATATAAAGGACTATAACATACTAATTTTTTATCAAAATCGTTCAGGCCATTTTTGGGAAAATCCTATTTTTCCGTTATTTTATGGGGTTTTATGGGAAAATCCCCATCTAAAATCAAAATTTCTAAAAAAATGAAAAAAAACTATCAAAATTGTAAGGACCATAACCTACTATGTTAAATAAAAACTGGATTTTTGTCTAAAATCCTATTTTTCGTTATTTTATGGGGTTTTATGAGAAAAAAACATAATTTACCATAACTTTTGAACCGTAATTTTTACAGAAATGGGATTTGTACCATTTTGTTCAGAATTTTAAGGGCTACAACATACTAAATTTTAATCAAAATCGTTCGGGCCATTTTTGAGAAAATCCGATTTTTCCGGTTTTTTATGGGTTTTTATGGGAAAATCCCCATTAAAAATCAAAATTTCAAAAAAATGAAAAAATCGCCTGGAGATACCATGGATTAGAACCTACATACCAAATTTCATCGAAATCGGACCACAGGTGTAGTCTCTAGCTCTGTACACATCCAGACACACAGACACACACACACACACACACACACACACACACACACACACACACACACACACACACACACACACACAGACAGACATCACTTCGAAAACCACTTGTTTGGGTCCAGGGGGACCCAAAACGAATATATCCACTCAAAACTCAAACTCGAAAATTTTGACGAAAACAATACTTTCTCCATATACTATGGTATAGGGGGAGAAAGTAAAACAAGGTAAGGATTTTATAATCGTAGATGAATTTGCAGTTCTGTATATGTTGTTCTATAATGCTCAGGCTTAATGGTATCAGCAAAACAACACTTACTTTCACCCAATAGCTTGGCATCAAAATTGAACATCCTACTACTTTTATGAGTAAATAACAAAAATAAACCAATTGTCCTGGGTAACTGGAGGGGTTGACCAAAAAGAAGTGACAGCAAGAACAACTGCCCAGTACAAGGTTAAGGAGATTTTGTGTACCTACATAAATTATTATCTGCTAGCAATAATCTCAACTAATTGTTATGAACCTGGACTGCAGATAATTTATCAGAAAAAAAATGTGAATTGAATATGATTACCAATAATCTTTATTCATTTATTTTACACTTACTATCAATTAAAAAAAACACATTTTTCCATTATTTTAGCATACAGTACGGGGACTATATTGCACAGTTTGGAGTCGAAAGTTAGCTTTCACTTTGGATGTTGAGGTTAAGCCCATTTGGAGTATAGCTTGTAATAAAATTATAAGTAGTATTTTTTATAACACAACTTTGTAATTTAAAAAAATTATAAAAGAGACATTGGTACACACTAGTCTTGGTTTATTACTCATTATAATTTGTTGTAAACAGATAATGAAATATTACCATGACTCATTAGACACACTGGGACTATTGACTAGTGCAGCAGAAGCAGGTGAATACATCACGTAGCAGTACACAACGATCAAGCTTAGAGAAGTATAGTGACATTACCGGCAATTTTACCTGCATTTTGACAGCAATGGTGATGGAAGCTAGATCTGAGCCAAGTGTTTTCAACACAACAAGGCGAGACAGAGTCAAGGAGCACAGCCTGTGAACAGAGGAGATTACTTAGTTTGTCTCCTATACACAAACTTTACGCAGGAAACTAGCAAACTATGTTGTTATAGGTTTAGGGCGGCTTGTAGGGAGGGCTTCCTACAACACTGAGTCACACCAGGAGATCCTAGTGCACGCGCATTCTGCTGCCACTTGATCTATAATTGAGTAATTAACTCCAATTTATTATTTGTGGGGGCATCAAAATTTAAAAAAATTAAGGGTCTCACATGTAGGTCTTTCTGTGCCATCTACGGTAATAGCTTTCTTCCCTATATAGAAATTAGCTTAAAATACTTTGTTTGAATGTAGATTAAATTTAGTTTGATCTCCAATAATGAAATGTATAAATTAAATTTACAAGTTCAACAAGGCCAATATATTATAATTTTATTTTATTTGCTATATTGGCCTTGTTGAACTTGTAAATTTAATTTATACATTTCATTATTAATTGCCAATATCCCCAATGTAAGTTATTAATCTCCTATATTAAGGTAATCTCTAAAGCAGCGATTCCAAAACCTTTTGGTCCGGCGACCCACCTTCTTGAATTCTTTTGCAACCCGTATGTTAAATAATGTAACAAAAGTGTTCTATGAATAATTTATATTTTTTTTGTTTTATAATTTTATGGTGTAAAGGGTCTACAGTAAACACAAATAAAATGAAAATGATTCAGTTAAAGACACAATATTTGGTCCAAAACCCCTTGTATTTCAGAAACCTAAACTGTTATTTAACTATCGAGACTTGTGAAGTGTAAGTTTGAAGAGACTATTTCTGGATTGAATGCTGACAGCTGTAGACACTAGACATTTTTTTCATAATAAGCCTATTTAGTTTTTTTAGCGAATAGGAAATAGGCTATTACCCTAGTACTCGTGGTAAGACCTGGACACGGGACTGAATAACTTTTTCGTTTTAAGGTCCCTAGAGGCCAAACACACCATTCGTTCAAATTTATATGTATATACTCCCCTTTGGCTTGCCATTAGTAGGGTGGTGGCATATTAAATTACTTACTTCATCCTTGGCAAATTTCAAGTTCCTAGCACATTTCTAAACAGTTCAGATCAGCATACCAAAGTAATCCACTTTCAATCTTATTCCCCATAAAAATAGCAGAGGGGGGGGGGAATTCGAAACTTCTAATGGGCAGGGGGGGGGGTAAAAGGCTAAGGCCAAGAAGCATCAAGAAGTCAAGAAGCCAAGACAAATAAAAATAGTGGAGATGGGAGTCAAGATGGCAGGTGGAAGACAGTTGGTTAAATAAAAGCTGTAATAAAAAGGTAACTAAAAGTACCGGTGGAATTCAATGTCAAGGAAATTGTAATTCTTGGTTCCATTTTGAATTTGCGGGTAGATCTAATAAAGATATTGGTAATATTGGTGTCAAGTCTTCATGGTTATGCAGCCTTTGTTCTCGTTCTAACCTAAAGGCCGAGGAAAGCAACACTGGTAATCAAATCGTTAATATAGATTTAAAGGATAGTGGAAGTGAAAATTGTTGCCGCTGTTTTGACCATATCAAAATTTTGACCGATCAAATCTTTAAACTCACAAAGAATCAAGTTGAAATGAGAAAACAACTTGGTGAACTCCAGTCTGACAATGTCAGACTAACCTCTGCCTTGACTAGCCAAGAAGAAGCTATTGGTGACTTATTACTTAACGATAGCATATCATATGCTGTTAAAACGTCCAAGAGTTAGTGAAACTGTGGGTGGACTTAGTGCTCACAGCCTATCAAAAGCAGGCCTAGATCTCTCTACCAATAAAATGACTACCGGTAGGCTTACATCCATTATTATGAAAAACTTACTTTATTACCCTCCCTGTAACAGCTGATCTAAGTACTCATAAAATTTAATAATATTTAAATTGGGAATAAATCAGGCAATATTTTGGACTCAACAACAATTTTAAAAATCTAGAATATCCAGAAACAGTTTAACACAAAATTTTCTATAGAGAGGAATTAAGATGACATTGGTCACTATAGGTCGCCCGGTTAGAAAACGACCTCCTCGTAGCATTGGTGCGAGAGAGAGATACCGAACTGTGGGAGTGAGACAGACTATGGCTCTTCCCCCACTCCGCTGCCGCCCCACCCCCACCTTCCCGAACACCTTAAATATTAACAGCAATTAAATTATACAGCTGATCAAAATGTAAACAATTACGTTCTTCATAACTTGAGGGAAAAATAGGTACTGCAAAAATATTGTATAGCCAAAATCGCATCAATATTTGAGCATCATGTAATGTTATTATATCATCGTGTAAGCATTTCCATTTGGTAACACAGGATTCCAACTCCCACGACACCGGGTGGTGCCGTGTCGGTGTCGTGTCGTGCAGTGTGAAAACGGCCATTGGCGGAGAGGGGGGACATACCCTCCCTCACCGTTACCTCCCCTACATGCGCTAAAAATTTTGCGCAGGTCATTTTCTAACCGGCCGACCTATATCTAACTTTTCCTATTGATTACGATTACCCCCATAACCAATCAACTTTCAATCAAGTCTCTAGTCTGCTTGTCACTGCATGATTATTATCCATACGAAATAAGTTTTAAAAAACGCCCAAAAAGCGTTAAAACGATCTATTTGTTTGAAAATTCAACATTTCAAATTTGTTTGAGTTGGTTAAAATGTTAAAATGTCACTTTTGACAATTTTTGTTCAAGTTTGGGGGCACAAAAAATACAAATATATGCCCGAAAAGTTGTTTTTAAAATTAAATACACGTCAAAAATCAAGACATTTTACAATTTTTTGAAGTAGGACGTTTTTTGAAGGTGAAGGAGTGCGAATTTTGGAAAACGCCAAGGGGGGCCTTGTAGAAAATTTAATTCCTGACCATGAAAATTTTTCAAATCTTTTCTAGCTCTCACCGTTTTTGAGTTATATAGCCGTTTAAAAAAACATTTTTTCCAAAAAAGTGTGAAATCTGAGGGATTTTTTGGGGGGATTGAAGTTTGAAAAAGTGACTTTTTGTAATTTTCAAGGTAGTTTGGGACCAAGACGGACCTCCACAAAAAATTTCAGATCTCTAGCTACTGTAAAAGTGGGTAAACATTTGTTTCCCTGATCAGTCAGTTACACATTGGGCTGTATATATAATTGGATATATATTACACATGTATATATACTACATATATATGTATATATGTCATCTAAATATATATGTATACATATTAGTAAAAAATATATAAAATAGCATGAGTACCCTTTTTTAACGAATTTTCAATATAGGGAATAAGCTATTACCGTAGGTCTCGTGGTAAGACCTAGACCCGGGACGGATTTACTTTTTTGTTTTAAAAATCCCCAGAGGCTAAAAACACCATCCGTTCAAATTCATATATATATGTATGTGTGTGTGTGTGTATGTGTGTGTGTGTGTGTGTCCGTTAGCGTGATAACTTGAGTAAAAATGATCCGATTTTGATGAAATTTGGTACAAACGTGTAAACCTATGTTTATTCGGACGACGAGTTTGCAAACCAGCATAATCGGGCTATGAGAACGGGGGTTTATGGGGGTTTTTATTGGACAAAAATGGATTTTTCCCATTTTTGACCCTAAAAACACAAAATTTTATCATTTTTCTCCAAACCATTTTGTAGAGCTTAAAAAAATTAATAATTTTGTATATTGAAGCGTTGTTGTATGTTCAAAAGTTACGGAGAAAATTTAAAAAATTGTAAATTTAAAATGTCCATGTTATTCTTATGGAGAATAAATAAACTGTTGTAGTTTGCTTGTTTATGGATGATATATTTTAACCAAATTTCAAAAGTTTGCTAATTTAATACTAAGCTATTAACATTGCAATAAAAACCCACACCTCAATATCTTCTCTGTAGCAGCAAACCTAAGTACCTATTCACTAAAATTAATTTTATTGAAATGGGAAATAAATCTGACAATTTTTGGAGAATATTTTAGTAGAGATCCAGTCAGGTAAATGGGAATTTGCTTAGTTAGTCTACAGGTTTGCTGGCAGAGGGGTATTTAAAAAAATACATAATTAAAATGTATACATAATATCATAGACTAAGCAACACAAGTAGACTCCTCATCCCATTGTAAATTTTGAAGCTTGTTTTTTGCGTCTAGTTCATGTACGACGTACATGTACATGTACGTCCACACTAATCGCTAGTGTAGACAACATTTTGTTTCTATTATTTTAGGGTTATTTTCATGATTTGTGCTTTACTATTTGGTTATATAACTAGGAGACCAGTTATTGTTTATGATTATATCGTTTTATTAGGTTAAACGAGGTTTTAAATGACTGCAATAACAAGAAACAAATTGTAAACAAAACATAACCTCTATAGTTGGACGTACAGAACTAACAATAAAATTGGCTTCAGCTGTTCCATTAGGATGACTAATCTACTAAGGGAGTATGTTTTATCTATGATAATATATACATATATATATAATATATATAAATATATATCCTTATATATATAAATATATATAAATAAATATATAAATATATAAATAAATATATAAATAAAATATATATCCTCATATATATATATATATTTATATAATATGATCCGATTTTTGAGAAATTTGGTACAAACGTGTAAACCGCTACATTTATTCGAACGAGTTGGCGAAACAGTATGATCAGACAATGAGAACGGGGATTTATGGGGTGAAAATTGGTTTTTTTCCATTTTTGACCCTAGAAACATAAAAGATAACGATTTATTTCCAAACCATTTTGTAGAAATCTGTGTGTGCATACCTTCAATTTGAGACCTCAATCATGAAAATTGGTTGGATAGAAGAGCCAAACGAACTCGGAAAAGAGAAACCCAAATTTGTTTATATAGTTATCAAATCTCAATTATCCGGTATTGTATTTCTTACGTTCAGTGGCGGTCCCAGGATTTCATTTCGGGGGGGGGGGGGGATGACCACCGGGTCAGGGGTATGGAATCTCCCCCGGAAAAAAAGGTT